CCAAAAACAAGAGGTTATGAATATCAAACCGAGCATTGATCCTGACTGCAGATAATGATGAGCTGTATTACTCGTGTTACACTTCAGCTAGGATAGGTCACTGTCTTGTGACTGTAAGCGTAGTGTTCCTCCCCCCCCAAAAAGCACACAGATCCTGCCACTGGTTGAAGACAGGCCTAGACCTTTGTATCTTGACATATTTTAAAGCGAGGGGGAAGGGGAAGGGGAGGGGGCGGGCTTGGCTATGGAATGTTGAAGGCTCAGAGATGGCTGTTAGGGTCATCTCATAGTCTGCAAGCAGAAGAGCTGGGAAGCTCAGTAAACTTCATATTGTGGAATAAGTCAGGTAACACAACCTCAAGTTTCTCTTCTCGTTCCTTTCTGGTGAGAGGGGCATGTTTTGGTCAGCTTTTTTAAAAAGCACATTTTAAACAAGAGAACCCTTGGGATCTCAAGAGGCTTTAGGTTTCAGTTTCCCTGTGAAATATTTAGGGGACGTTCCAAAACCTGTCTGGCCACAACTTTGCGTGAAGGATCCAAAGAACTGGGTGGTGCAGCTGTCTGTGTAAGTATTTTCCTTATTCGATAGCAATCGGCCTCTTCTCCCCCTCCCCTTCCTTCCCTACCTGAACTGGAACCGCTGTTCTTCTGCTTTGTGTTTTGTCGAGACTCTTTCATCCAGGGGAATATTTGTTTGGACATGGTGGGTGAGTTCATGATGGAGCTCTTGGTGGCGTTGGCTGGGGTGGCATTGGTGCTGGCATTCTGAGGTGGTGACACAGAGGGGGGTGGCGGTGGCGGCGGGGCCTGTTGGCTGGGAGGCTGCTGCTGGGGTGGCTCTGGAAGGACCGGGGGCTGGAGGGATTGGCCGGTGATGGTCCTCATGCAACTCTCATTGATTTCATTGGCCTTGTGGTGGGACACGGCGCTACTGCCACCGCTGGGGGATTGCAACGAGCAGGCAGGTCGATGGTACTCTGTTTCCACCAGCGAGGAAGAAGGAGGCGGAGGATATTGCTGCTGACTAGCATTGTAAGCGAAACCATTTGCTCCTTGGTAGGGATAGCCGCCATAGATCGCAGAGCTGTCGTAGTAGGTCGCTTTTTGCATTTCGTTGTTTCCCAATATTTATTTCACAAACTGACAGGGTCTTGACACCCTTAAAGAATAACATTGGCACCCCTCTGTCACGTGACGTT